ATCTAAAAGTCTTGGGTTAAACTTTCTATTTATGCCCCTGATATTCCCCAATGGGAACTTCCCAGACCTATCTCCCCTGACGTCAGTTGCATGTGAGTCCCCAAGAATGAGAGAGCGATTGATCTCTGTTTTGAGATCATGTAATTCAAATGACCCAATATCAATACAATCGAAACCAGTCTTAATATTTGTCAATTCTATACGGCTCAGCAGAGACAGTTGATGATTCCGGAGTGTCTGATTTAACAATCGACGAGGAATCAGTACATGACTCAGATAATGTTATTGTATCAGAATGTGTTTGGGAACACGGGGTACTATGGTCAGGCATAACGGGTGTTTCAGTCAATTTGGGTTGTTAAACGAAGTACGAATCAATTGTAGGTGAACGTTTTGCAGAATTCTTACTCATTTCTGCGCATAACAAAAGATACAATACTTAAGTGGTAAAGCAATTTCCAAGAACAGACCAACGATGTCGCCTATAGAACGATTTCGGACTGCAGTGTCAGCCTGTTTCCAGACATAGTCTATTGCATAGTGTAGACACAACATGTTTTGTCTACAAATGATCCGCGAAGCAAGGTGCGTTCGAGTACCACGGCATTATACCAGAAATCACCTAGCAGGGCAGCTTTGAAGCACAGTACCTAGTACCTAGCTCACTGCACAGCCTTACTGATGACATTGTAGGGAGGGTGTTTCAACAATTTGTTGAGGTTGAAGTCCGACGGTGGAAATGCTGTTGGCAAGACGTAGCCATTGAAGAAAGGTCATCTTGTCTGCTAACAACTCTCGACTTTGCCAAGGCGGATCTTTATCCTCTCCTCCATGAAGCCGTGATAACCTTGGCTACAATGCCAGTGTCCTCTGCAACAGCTGAACGTTCTTTCAGCGCAATGAGACGCATTAAGACATACCTCAGATCAACAATGTTACCTGGCAGATTGTCTGCAGATTATTCACGTACGTCGTGATTTCGTGGTAGATATTGATAAAGTCATTGACATCTTCGCACAAGGTCAAACTAGTAGACTGGCTCATCTCTTTGACCAACATCTGTGATGACATAATGCTGCTCTGATAGTTTGAGGAATCCTCTCAGTCGTCATGAGATCCACCATATGCTTTCAAGTTGGAGTGTTTCATTTACCGAGTTTTCGAGTCTTCTTTAAGTTGTGTTGGTACTTTACTATTTACAATATTTACTTGGTCAGGATCTGTTTGAGTTTGATCTGCTAGTTTAGAGTTATTTTTATGGTTTGCATGTTTTACCATGTTATTCATGTTATTGACTTTAAATTGTGTTCAGAAAAATGTTTTACTTTTAGATGTGCTATATTCTCCCTGATTTCAAAACCTTTCATTATTTGTGCTTACACTCTGTATTTTCCTGGCTACACGCCTGATGGTTATAAGAGTTATTCAGCTCTACAGACAGACTGAGGTGACCGTAGACAGACCAAGAAGTGGACGTCCACGCATCACAACACCAGCTGAAGATAGGTACTCCCATCATTAATGAAGGAGGGTAACGTTTCTTTTGGCGTTAAGTGTATATGCCTTGACGACTTAAAGACAAAGCTAAACAATGAATGTACTAAACTAAGATCCTGAGGTTGGTGCGTTACACTGAACAGCATAAAATGGAAATTGTAAACAATTTTGTACTGAGAAGCAGAGGAGGCCTAAAACACAGGATAATTCGAAAATTTCCACGCACGCACCCAGTCACACATACACCATAATAGTATTCTAACAGCGTGGTGGTCTAATGTTGGGGACTTCCTAAGACAACAGTAGAACAATACAGTAAGTGGTCAGTTGTCTGGAAACTATCCTTGTCGAAACAGGAGTCTAAAAGTGATGTCAGGTTTGCTAAATTGATTGTTGCATGTCATCGTATATCTTAATTGCATAGATCGAGTCTAATGATATCTACGAATAGTTTGTTCGGCCAATACCCACTCGGAGGGTTACATCACTGACTTTGTGTGCGCGAAATTCGTTTACTCACTCGTTCAGGTTCGAATCCCGCATGGGACTCAAACCCCAAAGTACTAACATATGTACTTCACATAAAATGTGCAGTCTAAGTAAACTTAGGCTCAGTATTTTTCGTTACACTGCTATACTGAGTCTAGCAGTGTAACGAATAACACTGAGCCTAAGTTTACTTAGACTGCAGAAAAAGTGTAATCCCGGACCATTTGACCAGTATCTGAGAAGACACTGTGTATTCAGATGTGTGGACATTTATGAATTTGATTGATGGTTATCCTTTCCTTTGACCATACGTTTAGTCGTATAGGAGTAGTATTTCGGGTTGCACACGTTTACATGTCGACAGACCGCCTCCGTGGTGTAGTGGTTAGAGCGTCCGATCATACGTTTAGTCGTATATGAGTAGTATTTCGGGTTGCACACATTTACATGTCGACAGACCGCCTCCGTGGTGTAGTGGTTAGAGCGTCCGATCATACGTTAAGTCGTATAGGAGTAGTATTTCGGGTTGCACACGTTTACATGTCGACAGACCGCCTCCGTGGTGTAGTGGTTAGAGCGTCCGATCATACGTTTAGTCGTATAGGAGTAGTATTTCGGGTTACACACATTTACACGTCGACAGAACGCCTCCGTGGTGTAGTGGTTAGAGCGTCCGATCATACGTTAAGTCGTATAGGAGTAGTATTTCGGGTTGCACACATTTACATGTCGACAGACCGCCTCCGTGGTGTAGTGGTTAGAGCGTCCGATCATACGTTTAGTCGTATAGGAGTAGCATTTCGGGTTGCACACATTTACATGTCGGCAGACCGCCTCCGTGGTGTAGTGGTTAGAGCGTCCGATCATACGTTTAGTCGTATAGGAGTAGTATTTCGGGTTGCACACATTTACATGTCGACAGTCCGCCTCCGTGGTGTAGTGGCTAGAGCGTCCGATCATACGTTTAGTCGTATGGAGGTAGTATTTCGGGTTGCACACATTTACATGTCGACAGACCGCCTCCGTGGTGTGGTGGTTAGAGCGTCCGATCATACGTTTAGTCGTATGGGAGTAGTATTTCGGGTTGCACACATTTACATGTCGACAGTCCGCCTCCGTGGTGTAGTGGTTAGAGCGTCCGATCATACGTTTAGTCGTATAGGAGTAGTATTTCTCGTTGCACATATTTACTTGTCGACAGACCGCCTTCGTGGTGTAGTGGTTAGAGCTTCCGATCATACGTTTAGTCGTATATGAGTAGTATTTCGGGTTGCACACATTTACATGTCGACAGACCGCCTCCGTGGTGTAGTGGTTAGAGCGTCCGATCATACGTTTAGTCGTATAGGAGTAGTATTTCGGGTTGCACACGTTTACATGTCGACAGACCGCCTCCGTGGTGTAGTGGTTAGAGCGTCCGATCATACGTTTAGTCGTATATGAGTAGTATTTCGGGTCTCACACATTTACATGTCGACAGACCGCCTCCTTCGGTGTAGTGGTTAGAGCGTCAGATCATACGTTTAGTCGTATGGGAGTAGTATTTCGGGTTGCACACATTTACATGTCGACAGACCGCCTCCGTGGTGTAGTGGTTAGAGCGTCCGATCATACGTTTAGTCGTATAGGAGTAGTATTTCGGGTTGCACACATTTACATGTCGACAGACCGCCTCCGTGGTGTAGTGGTTAGAGCGTCCGATCATACGTTTAGTCGTATATGAGTAGTATTTCGGGTCTCACACATTTACATGTCGACAGACCGCCTCCTTCGGTGTAGTGGTTAGAGCGTCAGATCATACGTTTAGTCGTATGGGAGTAGTATTTCGGGTTGCACACATTTACATGTCGACAGACCGCCTCCGTGGTGTAGTGGTTAGAGCGTCAGATCATACGTTTAGTCGTATAGGAGTAGTATTTCGGGTTGCACACATTTACATGTCGACAGACCGCCTCCGTGGTGTAGTGGTTAGAGCGTCAGATCATACGTTTAGTCGTATAGGAGTAGTATTTCGGGTTGCACACATTTACATGTCGACAGTCCGCCTCCGTGGTGTAGTGGTTAGAGCGTCCGCCCGGAGAGCGGAAGGTCGCGGGTTCGATCCCCGACCGCGTCATACCAAAAGACGTTAAAATATGGTACTTGTTGGTCCCTGCCTGGCGCTCGGTATTATTGGGTACAACAAGGACTGGTCGGCTCGGAGTCAGTATAATGTGTCTGAGTGGGGTATTCATGCTTCACTGCGGCATGGTATCTCAGTGGGCTAGCACTATAAAACCAGCTTAAGTCTGGGCTAGTACAAGCAGCCGCACCTACACATACACACGCATGCACGTCGTCATATGAGCGAAATATTCTCAAGCACGACGTAAACCCAATTTCACCTCACCTCACCACATGTCGACAACTCAAATATCAACTGATTGATCGGCATTCTAGACGATGGTGATTCAAAAATGAATTGCATAGAGCGACGTTCCGATGTAGATTCTCACACCGTTATCAAGCTAAAACGTCGCTCCATACAATAAATAAAAAGTTGTCATTCATAAAGTGGTGTTTCATTTTCAAATATCAAAATTCGATATACATTGTGAAAACATCTTTCATCTTACTTTAGCAATGTCTTTTCGTAGTCAGAGGTGTTTTACTGACGTTCTTCATAAATTATCAAAGTACAAAGTTGCATGTTGATTTAGTCAAATACACGTATGGCATAACATATTGCATTTCTATGATGAGGTGACATTGTTGATTTTACCGGCGCTTTGGATAGTTATGACTTTTGTCAATAACTGGAGTACAGTGCCCTTGCCGCGTAAGAATATTAAAGACTAACATTGAACTCAAAGTTAATGTGGTGATGTTCATATGATAGCAGCACATTCTGTATTGTGCTTAGTTAAAACGATAAATATTGCTGCGGGTTTGTATTTTTGAGAGGCAAAGCTCAGATAAATGTCATGTTACCGTTCAACAAGGAACTATATAGGTCACAGCGGACGCTGCAATAATATCAATAAGTGAGGTAGCTGTGGCACAATGGAGGGGCTGAGAGGAGCCGAGATGTACGAAAGAGATATAATTTTATAGCATTGTGTAACTTCTTGGACTGTGAAATTATTTTAACAGACTAAGGATGGTGCAGAAATATAATTCACCCGTGAGGGTGTATAAATACCCATTCGAACTTGTCATGGCGGTGAGTTTCACAACTTTTTGTATTATCATAACTGTCACATGAAACAAATATTACGAACTTGACAGAATCCTTGTTGTGTGGAGGTCACAACATCCCCAGCAGTGTAAAAATATAAATGAAGTATGTTCGTATTTTTAGATATATATTCGTGTGATTCACTCATTTTTATCATGTGTGTAATCAGAATATTTTATGGCTAGTTGAGAACCATAATATCCTGTTCACTGCAGCATTTAGGCACGATAAGCCAAAATAAAAAGACATTTATGTCTAATGTTAAATCTTTTTCGATGCCTTTCTTGCAAGTAGCAGCTGTCAAAGATCTTCATTACTAAAGAAGTCCATTTTAAACATTTAGTTTGTGACAATCAACCAGTTGACAAGTTGTGTTGTAGATAGAGATTTACTAGAAATGTATATTCTCATTTATCAGTAACAGACGAATTGTTGCATTTTGTGGTAGAAGATCAGGAAATTGAGAAATGACACATAGGAACATTGGTCATGTGGGTTGGAATAAATAAGATTGTATTGCTGGCCTTAGGGTTATTAATGTGTTGAAATTGAATTTGATTGTCTATCTAATTATGGGTCGTCATAGTATTCCTACCTGAAACTAGTGAAGGTGCACCTTGTATAGCCCAGATTTGATTATGTATGTAATATAGCTGAATTATAGCTGACTGCCGAGTAACACAATGATCACTGCAAACCAGGAACAATGACTGTAATATCATGAATATGGTGACAATCTGGCAGAAAGATACAGAAATCATGAGATTGTAAGATATTGATCATATTTAACTCACATAAGACTGTAAGATATAATAATTATGGTCTATGTGAGAGAGGGAGAACGAAAACCGTCATACCATTCTCTTCTGACTCTGAGTCTAACCATATCATGTGTAGTCATCAGTTACTGATTAGTATAACCATGATAACTATGGCAACTGTAATTAGCTTTGATGCACAATCATTAGTTTGCATTGCTCTTCTTTAAGGCATATGAAAAGCGTTTCCCGACCTGCAAGATGATTCCAGTATTTCTTGGGAGTGATATCCTAAATGAGTTCCGGAGTGAAGATGGGTCCGAGCATGTGGTAGAGAGAAGATGCAGACTCAACGTGGATGCGCCTTACCTTCTGAAAAAGGTGTGTCTTTTCATCTCATTATATATTTTATCTTATATCTTATGAACATAATTATAGTAAGAATACTTATTATTGTATTGAGTGTAATATTTTCTTTAAATTATTACGGATAAAATTTGCCACAACGAAGCACATGGAGACATGTTCAAAAGTTTGTTCAAAATTGCCTCTGTTCAACCAGAGGAAATGGGTACCCGGTGGAATAAGTCACCATTAACCTTTTAGTTCTTTACAGGCAGCTTGGGTCATCCGGGGTTATAATAATCAGATTGTTTGTGTGCTTCGAGTAAGCATTGTGCATGGAGAAATGCTCATGATAAATGGACTATTATTATTATCATTAATCGCATCACTTTTGGTAGATTAAGTTTTTGTCTCGGATATGGTTGATATGTTTGCAGTCGTTTTAGCATGCTTACAGAATGTATTTCCCTTCTTCAGGCTCAAAAGTTTCCACACATATTGCATGTAATGTTAAGTTCGGTTTGTGATGAAAATATTTCTATGATGTGTTTTATGGTTGCAGATTGTTGGCGTTGACCATGTGATTTTCATCCAGAAGAATACCCTCAATCGTAGAAACAGAACTCTTACAATAGAAGCTAACAACGAGAGTTTTTCATCGAGGATAATCATCAATGAAAACTGTCATTACTCTGTAAGTAAATGAATTTGAACAATCACTGGATTCTGTTATTTAGAGACTGCTATCCTATCACTGGAATATTGATGAATGCGACTTTGCGGAACAAGCAAACACAAATGGTAATATGTTCAAGGTCCTGTTTTCAAAAGGTTGAAGAATCCATAAATTCATCAACCTCCAACCACTGAATCTGGACCTGCTTGACTCCATATTGCTATGTAAGGTTACCTGTCCGCAGGCATTTGTTACATAACAAAGCTCCCAGTAAACAATTTAATTTACCACTAGACCAATGTAAACTAATAGTGAAGTATGTGTGTCTCACTTTGTTCTGTGTCAAGCAAGGGTTTGTTGTCACATGTGTTTCACATGGCATGTGCTCGATAGCGGCTTTGTTTTTGCTGGTCTTGTCAAATAAATACATGAGTAAAGGCAACACGACACTCATCCATCTCATGAACATGTCCTGTATACTAGTTACACACTGAAGCAAATAATGTAATGTATTTATTAAGCATTCTCAACATCGTGCTAAATTATGCAAGAACACTTGGAACAATTACAGCGTTCATTGGTTGACTTGACATTTGTAGTGTAATTAAGTGTTAATTTGCCCAGAACTATTTGAAGTGCCAAATTGTTTGCTTCTAATTACTTTTACCATGTTTACTATATGTAATTTGTGACCCTAACATTTGCCAAATGGATTAAAAAAATCTATTCATGAATGACCTTTCCATTTCCCTGTCTGCTGCAGCTAGCAAACATTTCCTGGTAAACATAGTTATCATCATAAATAGACATTGTGTTTGCCCCAACTGACTGTATATTGTTAGTTTTTATGGAACATGTAACGTGATGTTGAATGAATGACAAGTTTATTAAATCTGATTTTTTTCTCCAATGTGATACTTTTCTGTGTAAAAATTTGAGGACACCTCAAGGGTTGCATCAGGTTTTTAATCAGCCATTCAACATCAGGGCCTCTCAATTCATGATGCCAGTGAGCGAGGCATTTAGTACAGTATTCTTTATTTTTGTGTCTCAAGGTCGCTCAAGGTACACCTAAAGTCACCTTCTTTGGAGGTGTTCTCTTTATTCAGAAAGGTTTCATATCAGAGCAAAAGATCTGATTTACTGAGATTTAATCAGAGAATACTGCATACAAAGTCAAATGCATGTTTTGCATGTATGTTTAACATGTTGCAAAACTGAACAGAAAACTGCAAGATGGACAAACACTGTACAATAATATATACTACAAACTGGGTCAGGTATATAATGGTTAACAATAACATGGTTAAGAACAACGTTCACATATGGTACGAAACTAAACTCTTTGGTAAAACTATTAAGTAGGTTGTTCAACAAATGCAGCATATTAATGGAGTGTTTGTACAGTTTGGATAGATCTGTTACTAACCATGCTACAGGACGATTTTGGGCTCTGTGTTTTGTATGTTTTGGTGAGAAACCACATACAAGAATAATATGAAATATTGGACATATGGAAACCTTAATCATGTTTGTGTCCCACAAGAATTTTGGATAGGCTTCCCTGTTTTTATCAAGCTTACACTAAGGCAAACATTTTTATTCACATAACACATACTACTGTTAAACAACTGCACTAGGCAAGCTTGTATTTGCCTCCTCAAAGTGATAACTGATACTCAGTGGTTTTATATAATTGTGTTCCATTTCAGTGATTTTGTTGCATTGCCGTTCTTTTAAATTGCCTTTAGGGTTAAGAGTTTTATAGACATAGTGATCTGTGATAATGTTTCACATTTGTAGTTTCAGCTCCAAGTGCTGGCATAATTATGTTTACACTAATTGCATGTTACATTACATGTTAACTGGGGTATAGGCGTAGCCAAGTGTACATTCATCACACTGAAGGTATGTTTGACACTCCACATCAGTACAGTATGTAGTATGTGGAGCCCATTTCTTGTGACCCCTGTCATGATATTGCTGGAATAATACTACACGTGTCTTTTGTCTGTGTTTTATGTGAAGAAGGTAAACCATAAACAGGCTTGTAGAAAATAATAATTGAAGGAAGCACTCAACATTGTTTAGCTGATGGTTCTGAACACGGTGAAATGTCTGATAACTACCCTCGTTGATGTAATGACCCGTGAAGATCCGGGGTAGAATAGGTCTTCAGCAACCCATGCTTGTCGTAAGAGGCGACTAACGGGATCGGATGGTCAGGCTCGCTGACTTGGTTGACACATGTCATCGGTTCCCATTTGCGCAGATCGATGCGCATGCTGTTGATCGTTGGATTGTCTGGTCCAGACTTGATTATTAACAGACCGCAACCATATAGCTGGAATATTGCTGAGTGTGGCGTAAAACTAAACTCACTCACTCACTTAATTGATGTTCTAACCCTATCCACAAACTTGTCCTGACTGTCCTGCAAGTGAACAGCTGGAGAACAGTGCTAATATTGCTTTGTAATCTATCCAGGGGACTTAATGTTCAGTGTTGTTGAGTGGTATTTTGGCTCGCCCCTATGATTGTGTCTAATGGCGGACAAGACTGCAGGTTGGTTGACTGCCCACAATCTTCCATCTTGTTTCAGGTGTTACTTCATCATGGCAGCTGCCATTTTTCAGTGTTGTTGACAATTTAGGGATCATTTGTTACCTGGTTTGATGATTCATTATTCTGTTGTTTTCTGATTGCCTTGAATTGTCTAGTAAAGCTAGCATAGCAGAAATAATACTACCCTGAATTTATCCAGTCTCACTGTCAAAGTTTCAGTTGGTAACTTCCAAGGTCTTAGGATAATGTCGTACTGCTCAACTGAGGTTTCTTAATTAAATATGTTCAGAGTTTTGTGAAGGTTTGGTTTTGGAAAATCTTTTAAATTGACATAATTGATTTTCTTTTCTTTTCTTTTTTGTAAAACATGTCGGATCTCTCAATCATGTTCATTATTTGGTTGGCTTGTGTCATAAAGTTGGTTTCTATTGATTTACTGATTCTTTCCCCAAGAAATTCTCTACTGCAGACGTTATGATTACACAGACTTTGTTTCTTACATTCCGTCTCTAAAGATATGGTTTCACTCAAAATTTATTTCCAATTTCCAAGGTCAAAAGATTATTTGAGTTCGAAAGTATAGTTTTGGACCTACCATGTTTGGAATACCACTGCCAGAAATAACCAAGAAAAAAATGATGTTGGGTATGGATGTCTGCTGGTGAATCTGGAGGTGGAAATCTGTGCTTGTATGATGGATGTGATGAGGGTGAAGCAAAATGTTGCATCACTTGTCTTGCACGTGCAAACACTTCATCACTTGAGGGTGATGCTTGACGTGTTGGCAGGCATCGTTAGTCAGGGAAATATTACACTTGACAAGCAGTCTACTGAACAGAAGCTGTCTATCCTGGCTGTGAACATCTGCTATTAATTCATCAGTCTCCAACATGTCCTCAGATAATTAACAAGCTGAAGCTTATATGATGCAGAGTTTTTACGTTTATTACACAGTTGAATTATATTTCACTTTGATTTGGATATAGCTTGTAAGGAGGGTTCTCAAACCGGGTAGGGTTGGTGGGGTAACCTAGTGGTTAAAACTTTCGCTTGTCACGCTGAAGACCCGGGTTCGATTTTCCACATGGGTGCAATGTGTGAAGCCCATTTCTGGTGTCCCCCGCTGTGATAGTGCTGGAATATTGCTCGAAAGCGGCGTAAAACTAAACTCACTCACTCACTCACTCACTCACTCTCAAGACAGGTTTTTTGTGAACCTGAGCTCCTTGGCTCATTTATATTTCTGCTCCTCATGCTCATGACACAAGCATTGACAACCCAAACAAGACGAATTTCAGGCCTGTGTGGGTCCTTGTGTAGACAGGGTGAGGAATCACAAAAGATGTGGCCACCAACCACACTGAGGTATACATACCTTGTAGTTATCTTGTCAGTAATCAGTACCTTTGCTCTAACCTTAAGTCAGCTGTTGAAGTATGTGAACTACAGCATCTGACATTCTATGTATGTGAAGCATGGGGATTCCTTTCTAATAGTGGTCCATATTGAGAGATGACGTAATGGATTAGCTGGTCAGGCTCGGTTATGTGGTTGATGGTGTGTCAATGAACCCTGATTGTACTCCTATGCTGATCACTGGATTGTCCTGTCCAAACTATTATTTGTAGGCCATTGTTGTAGTCTGTATTAGTGAGGCGTTAAGCAGCAAAACACACACACACATTCTGCCTATTGTGTATTTACAATAGACACGAGTGGAGCCTTTTTCATTGCATGCATAATGTGTGAATAAACCCCATGATTCTAGTCATTCTCAGCTGCTGAATCTTCAGTTTGTATCATGGGCCCCTCTATTATTGCGGTAGTTAATGTTATCGTCATCAGGATTATAAACGGCTACTGACATTTAGCATTTTATATATATTTTCAGTTGACTTATGTTTAATCTTCATTTCTGTCACAAATAATGTGGCACATAGTTGCAACTCGTTTAATACCATTGCGGCAATTCCGATTGTCTTGTTTGACCCGGAAATTGAAGCAACTCTCTATTATCGCGGTATTGCTATTTTCTTACTATGGCATGCGGTACAAGCTGATGACACTGTGAAACGTTTACTAAGACGAGTAACGAATCTAAATAGTTTGATCATTAAAAAATATTTAGGAATTTCATTCACATTAATAATATCATCATGTTTTTAACCCAAACAACTGAAACTTCTATTCATTTGGATACAAGGTAACAATAACGTTACAAAATGTTTTTCCGCCTTAAAACGTACCATACAAGTTGCTGCCATGTGTAGAGTGAAGTTTCATAATACGTCACTTCCTGTTATATTTTTAGCACGGAAAATATGCAAATGACCTTATAGTTGTCGCAGACTCTCTTATAGTTGTCGCAGGATTCCTCTTGACGAAGTAAGTTTTGATTCATGCTAGATGTAATGGCAGTAGGGGTCATACTAGTTTCAAAATGTTCCAGAACT